GCAGAATTAGCCTGCAATACTGCATTATAACCACTACACCCTCATGGCTCTTGTCATCTAAATTATGTAATATTGTCAGCTCTGCAATGAACCTGGCTGAAGCCATCTTGCTCATTTTCAGTTGTCACAAGATTGGGGGAGGGATGGGGAGTTTATGCTAGTCTAAACAATTCTCTGTCCCATAGGAACCAAGCTCATTTCTGTTTGTTAGGCAGGGGATTGAGCCTTATGTTAGAAAGCCCACCAAAGTATTATATTGGGAAATATAGTTGGTTGCATAGTTTCTGGGATGGGAAGATTAACTTTGTAATATTGTTATTTTTTGGAGGAAACTTTAGTCTTGGTTTCATTTTTGACTATGCCAATACTTTGTAGCCAATAAACATGTTTTTAGAGGAAAATCCAAACCTCGGAGTTCTGCTTTAATTGGTCTCATCTATCAGAACCATGACAACTATCTTATTTGGGCTGCAGAAGTCTAGGCAGTCACCAGGTGAGAACACAGAGGTAAAGTTTCTTGGAATTTTGCAGCCTGATGATTATATTGTTGCCCTATTCTGATGTCCCACATTTCTCATTCAAAAAAATCCAATAGGAGGAATTTTCCCGCTTAATTTTGTTGTGGGAAGCCAGAAGCCACAAACTGTAAGAGAGATTACTATAGAATGAAAACAGGATGTTCACATAAACTGTCTATCTTGTAACTAAACAGATTTTTTTACTAAATATGGGGAAATGTTTCATGAAAGAAGTGAAAATGGATGAGCAGCAGAGTATGCTTCTGGATACTTTGATATGTGGAATGAGAATTCGGTATGTCAGGAAATAAATAAAAGTAAGTTAAAGATAATGGGAATAGAATATTTAGGAAATGAAGAAAAGACAATGTCAAATAGGGTTTGCTTTGTTTTGTTTTGTTCTTTTGCAGGACCTCCTGTTTTTATTGTCTCTGCTCTGGGCTGCTCACCATGCTCTAGTTTCCATCTATGAGGGTAATTCAGAAATAAACCTCCATTTGGTTATCAATGACAGACACTTTCAAATACAGAACTTTTATTATACACATTAGAAAAATACAACATTATATTACTTTTTGACATAATCACCGTTCAAACTGAGGCACTTGTCATAACGTCTTATAAGGTTTGAAATTCCTTAGTAGTATGAACTATAGGGGGGTGATCAAAAAACATCCCAACAGAACTGCTTCAAAAGTTCTTGGGTGCATCTAGCAGTGTGTGGGCAAGCATTATCATGAACCAACATCACACCGAAGGTCAGCATGCCCCAATGCTTGTTATGGATGGCTCATCTGAGTTTTTGTAATGTTTCACAGTAGACTTCTGAATTAATAGTTGAACCACGCTCTATGAACTTCACTAGCTGTACTCCTTTGGCATCTTCACATTTGGCATGATTTTCTATGGCACCATTTCTGGTTTGGTGTTGGTCCATGATAATGCTCGCCCATACACCGTTAGATGCACCCAAGAACTTTTGAAGCACTTCTGTTGGGATGTTTTTGATCAGCTTCCCTATGGCCCAGATTTTGTGCTGAGCGACAACTACTAAGGATTTCAAACTTTGTAAGACGTTATGACAAGTCCCTCAATTTGAATGGTGATTACATCAAAAAGTAATGTAATGTTGTAGTTTTCTAATGTGTATAATAAAAGTTCTGTATCTGCGAGTGTCTGTCATTGATAACCAAAGAGAGGTTTATTTCCAAATTGCCCTCATATTATACAATGTCATCATGTGGGACTGGAGTCTCTATGCCTCTATGGCTGCATGCTGCCCTATTTTATAAGGCTTAAAGACCTGGATGTTCTCACAATTAAGTTGGGAGTTAAACAAGTGCAGTCATCTAATTATTATTATTATATTGTATTGTAATGAATAGTATTGATGTAAATGATATTTACCTACATTTCCTTTTACTTATTTCATGCCTTTAATTTCTTTGACTTGCTATTTCTTATTTTCTTTCTGAACTCTGCATAAAGTTGCATATACACAAAATGGGAATAACATGATCGGAATATGTATATGCAGTAAATTGCTGATTTTTTTCTTTTAAATAAAGGTCAAAAGCAAATTTTATTTTGCTGAATTGTCTGTGGATGATTGAAAAATATGTAGGACAGTTTGGGCAATATGGCTTTAATAATGACAGCAAAGGTCTCCTGGGGTGAGTAAAGTTTATGTATTAGGTGAGCTAAACTCTGAGAATAGACACAACCTGGGATAACTCATTATTAGCACTGGATAGGTAAATCCATCCATTTGTGTGTGTGTGTGTGTGCACATAGGCATATATATTTGGTTGTTGTTGGTTTTTTTTGTTTGTTTTTTTTACTAATGGCTGCGTCTAATGGATAATTAGCCAGGAATCACATACCAGTAATTGACACAGTCATAGTTAAATCTAAAGTTAGGCATATTTTTTTCTTTCTGACACCTCCTTTTTTTTTCTCTCTTTTTCTCTTTTCCTTGATCTTAAAGGCAAAAGTCTTACAAAGCCCCTTAAAGACTCAAGAGACTTCCAAATGTTGTTACCAGATTGAAAAAGTTAAAGGGAACAAAGGGAACATAAGTCCATACTATAGGATTTCTAGAATTGTCTAAACGCTTACCACTAGCCTTAAGAGAGTTTCTACAGAGTGCTCTGTAATATTAAATAAAAGCGAAAAAAAAGAGAAGCGATTGGTTTTAGCCTCCACTGGTAGCCATAAGCACATTTGTTTCATTGGGTATTTACAATTACTGCCAGTAGCAAGAATGGCAGTAATAGAACAAGACACTCTTAGATGGCTAACTTCCCACTATCTGTTACCTGTTTGTAATGCAAAACATGCTCCATTTTGCTAGATATACTTTTAGAGGTTCTCATTGGGTTCTTTTGTGCCCAATGACACTACTTCCCTGAGGCTCAGGCCCTTTTTTATGACAGTACCAAAATTAAATCAAGGGGGAAAACAAGGAAGAGAAAGAAAATGAAAAGCAAATATTTCTACTTCTTTTCTCCAAAACAGTTGACTTATTTTATTTAAATTATTCTTTCATCATCCTATTTTTCCCTTTTCTTTTTGAATGCCAGAGGCACTGGCAAGGAGGATGGCACCTTTGGTGGGTGAAGTGAAGTAGACACAAGTGGGTATTCCCAACCTCACACAGCTCTAATTAAGAATAATTCTCAGTAATGGACTTTGGCTGCAGGCTAAATAAATACTGTTCTTGAATATTTTCATCTTAAATCTCACATAAATGTGCTAATTGAAAGTCTCACATCTTCTTCCAAATTGAATCCAACTCCATGTTCTTTGAATTATTTCCTTTCATGTCTATTGTTCAAGCAGCTTTGACTAATTCCACTGTAGTTAAAGATCTCTCACCATGAGCTTATGCTTCCATTTCTGCCCCCTCTAAGGAGATGTATTCTTAACCAGCCTAAAGCTGAAAACTGACACACAGACTATCTTGATTTTTGTACCTCATATTGAGCTGAGTTGTTTAAAAATAAACAGACTTAATAATATCCAAATCTTTCTCCTGGTGAATATTTAAGCACAATCAATTCTACCCAATAAAATCTAGAATCTTAAGATTTAGAATAACTGGTAGCAGTGGAATATGCCACCTGATAGCAAAATAAAATATTACGCACACTAGCAAATCTACTTGGGGAGGATATAAATAGGGTACCACAACTAAGAAGATCATGCCACTTATAATTGTCCAACAAAATTCACTTGTTAGAGGACATTCAGAAGAGGGTTTTTGAGATGACATAATCATTTACACAAGTGTGTGTAAAGAGACATCCCTTACAGATCTCTATCCCTTCTGAGTTTTAAAAATCACTAAGACTTTTCACTTGGTCCAGGAACAGACAGTGCCACCCTAACCCTAATCCTGATAAAGTGAGAGTATTATGCGGTTCCGTTATTAGCAGCTCTGTTCTGACTAATGGAGCTTTCCAAACAATCATGAAAGGTATGTTCCAGTACAACATGTTAGAGTAATTCAAACAGCATTAGTGAGCCTGATTTTGGATGAATTCAGTATCATGCAAGCTTTGTGTTTATATTTGTGCAAGACATCTCTCCTTTTTTTCTGCAGGTTCCCATCTGCTCTGTAGGTTCCCAAAGTTTCTAGAATACAACATGACGCTGATCAAGAAAGATTTATCTTTTTGCCCTGTCCTGTTTCAGGAGATAGTTCTGCAGATGAAGGGGATTTGGATTCCACCCTTTGAAAATAAATGTGTTGTTATTCAATCAAACCAAGATTTTGATTTGCATCACAAGGCAGCGCTGGGTTGTCTTTCATTTCCCATGATGGTTACAATGTGACATAATTATGTAAAAATATATTGTGAGGTTTAGTTACCAGTTGCTCAGAAAATTAATGAAGTATGAAGGTGGAATTGTTGCTTTGCAACATTAGTTGATGACAAGATTGCAACTGTTGCTGTTTCCTCAAAAGGAAGGACACACTTGAGTAAGACTGAGTTGACTGCTCTGTCCCTGGTCCAAGGGGAAAAAATGAAGCATGTGAGTATAGCTCTATCCCACAATTTAAATCAAACACTTTATTTTTTTTTCTGATCTATCTTTTTCTTTTTTCTTGCTCCCCTTGAGCCTTTAACTTGCTTCGGTTCTGTTGTGCTCCCACAGCAGATGGACTCCCTAGATGTTCTGCTGTTAATGTAGAAACTTTGGGGAATAGGGAATAACAAATAGATAGAAAAGCCTATTAAATAGCCTCCTGAGTAGCCTGGACAAAGATTCATTTCATCTTTGTGTATGTGTGTGTGTATGTGTGTGTGAGTGAGTGTGTGTGTATACATATAAATATACACACAAATGTAGGAATTATTGTTGCCTAACTAAGGCTACATTAGCATAACAAATTCCTGCAGAGTTTATACTTTTGCTGTTTAAAAAAAGGTAACAAAAAGCTTTAGTTACATGAAAGATGAGATTGCAAATCCAGAATTTATTTTATCTTGCAGCTCACTTTATTTTTGGTTTGAAAACAGCATTTTATTGAACTCCCCTTTCCTGAAGGTTAAAGGGAGGCTGGATGATTGTCTCTTGAGGATTTTACAGTGGCAGATTCTTTCACAGGCCGGAAGGATGAAGTAGAGGATCTCTAAGGTAACATCCCACCTGTATCTTCAATAATTGTGTCCAACATATGCAAGGTTAAACTGAAGATTTAAAATTAATATTTGTATCACTATTTGTAAAACAAAACAGAGAGAAGCAAAATTATGAACTCAGTTTCATCAAGGAATAAACCTTACACAGTAGAGTTTTGGTATGAAGGCTTTATGGTTGGCTTTAGATTGCAAGTGAGGGAAGCCAACTCTTTCCATCTATTGGTCCTAGCTAATCAATTATGCATTTTGGAACAATAGCCATTAGCAATCATTGAAAATGCAAATCAGCTTCCTTTAGCAAATTAACAAAAGACATTTATACTTTTTAGAGATACCAGGCTGAGTGAAATAATTACACACCATTCAAAACCACATTAAAATACAACCTAGTAAAAGCACCCAGCTAAAATAAGTTGAAATAATTCATGATACTGCCCTTTTATAAAGTTTTATTTGTATATTGATAGTATTAACAAATATTAGATGATGATAGATAGATAGATAGATAGATAGATAGATAGATAGATAGATAGATAGATAGATAGATGACAGCCATGTAATTCGATGGTTAAGATGCATTCTAAGATCTAAAAGATATCTATTAACTTTTACTGGACCAGCATATACTATAACTTTCAATAAAATTGGCCTTCACCCTACAGTGAACAATTTGGACTTTTAGTAACAACAATAACATACCCTCTCCCACTACTTACATAATATTTATTTTAGGTATTGGTATTTTGTATTCAATTGTAAAAGGGGGCTGGAAAGCTGATAGCCCAAGTTTGAGACCTGAGTGCTGCGCAATGGGGTGAGCTCCTGTTTCTGCTCCAGCTTCTGCCCACTGTGCAGTTTGAAAGCATGCAAATATGAATAGATTAATAGGTACCACTTTGGTGGCAAGATGCACCTTTGGCATATAGCCATGCTGACCACATGATCATAGAAAATCTCAGTCAAGAAACGGAGATGAGCACACCGCCCTAGTATTTGACATGACTGGACAGGGAAGACTTTACTTTTAATATTCAATTGCAGGACTTTGAAATAAATCATAGCTTCTAGAAAACTGAGAAGCAACATGGATATTTATTTGATAGGAATTCCATTCATCATTTTTTTCTCCACTACAGGGTTCAAAAACAAGCCAGTAACAAATGAAAGTGTGGTTGCTGATCTCTATTTAAACTAATAAATGGAACAATCTGGCAAAAGAAGCCAAATGTGTAACAATGTAGGAGTCAATTGTTTTTGCTTCCCAACTTACTTCTGTGCATTGACTGCAGTCCAAAGAAACATTGGAAACCAAGTTTCAGGTAGAAGTATGACTTCCCTGTTTTTCTAGTATCAAAAAGACTTGACATAAAAATCCTCCAAAGTCTTAGATAATCCCCAGATTTGTAAGGTTTTGCCACCTTATTTCTCTGGTTGTGGTTATGGGCCTTTAAACACAACCTGAGGCATGGGGAGACATGAAACCTGTCCAGAAATTTCATTCATCTTATTGAAACCAGCTTGGCTTCCTTCAAAATTCTGCACGTATTAGAGGGGAGAAATTGTGTAACGTTTCATCTATACTTCTGTTCAGTTTGGGATTTCCAAATGAATTACAGACTAAAATGCTACATTTTTTTTCTTTCCTCCCATTGAAGAGGGCAACAAAATCTTCACAGCTAACAATCTGCAGTTCCCAGAGATACTCATGATCATACTGCAGATATCTGGAGGCACAGTTTCCTATCATATCGAAACAAGAAAAACAGGAAACTTGTAGAGAAATTCAGGAGTAAATCCCCATGTCTTATATTGAAAAATAAAAATACAAAACCATTAAAAATATTAAAAATATCTTTAAGCAGCTGTTCTATACCTATGTTTCTCACTTCTAGTATATCTATCCCTGCACAAATGTCATTTCATAGATTCCCTAGGGATGGAAAAAATAGAAATAACCCATCAAATTTTAAAGTCTCTCTGTTTGAACATCCTGGATTTATTTGTGTGATATTTGGCAAAATCCACCCAAACATTAGGGAATCCTTTAATTGAATATATCATAAAGCTTCTTCAAAGAGTAAATAGCTCATTTAGTCAATGGGAAGATATCCAAAGGATCAGGATACTGAACTGAAACTACTGTTACTCAGAAATGAAACAAATAGAATATTGTCCAAATATTCCAAAGTTACGGTCATGTCTAATGACTTATTGTCATTAGTATTCCTTCCATATGTATTCCCAAATTCAAAATAGCATATGAAATTCATGCTTCCTTTCTCCATTTTTCTTCACAAAAGAATCCTCTGAATCATGTTCATCGAGAAATAATAGTTGGTATACAGCCCCCTTCCCCCCTCCCCCATGAGTTTCACAGCTGAGAGGAAATTTGAACCTCTTCTGAATAATAGTCTGGCATTAGAGGTAACACCATCAAATAATGACATCTGTCTGGAACACTGGAAGTTTTTAAGAAGAGACTGGACAGCCATTTGTCCGAAATGGTGTAGGGTTTCCTGCCTGAGCAGGGGGTTGGACTAGATGACCTCCAAGGTACCTTCCAACTTTACTATTATTATTATTATTATTATTATTATTATTATTATTATTATTATTATTATTATTATTATTATTATTATTATTATGATATCTGTCTATAATGACATCTGTCTATCTTGGAAAGGAATTGATAGATACAGTACTAATAATGTTATTAATTAATAAATTGAAAGCCAGTTTGGTTTAATGGTTAAGGCACCAGCTTAAGTGGTGGGTTAAGTTCAAGTCCCACTTCAGCCATGAAAGCCAGCTGGAAACTTTGGGCCAGTCACTCTCTCTCAGCCCAGATCACCTCATAGGGTAGCTGTTGTGGGGAAAATAGGAGGAGGAAGATGTGTTGGATACGTTTGCCACCTTGGATTATTTATAAAAAATGTTAAAGGCATGAAATAAATAAGTAAATAAGTAAATAAATAAGTAAATGAATGAATGAATGAATGAATGAAGCAAGCAACATTGGTTTGACAGATAGTAAAATCAGAGAAGGGGCAAGACAGCCAGATGTATATTTTAGCTTTGTCTGGAGTTTTCCAAATTAAGCAGCAATAATTCAGGGAGTTTTATTTGGATTCATTTAATATAAGCAGACATCTCCAGTAATCATGTAGAAGTCAAGTTATGTGGACTTCAGTTTTCAGAACGATACAGCCAATACCTTATTGCTATTTTTGCAAGTTGATGTCTACTTATCACAAGGATGGCCAGGTTAGAATGAGGTGCACAGAATGAGTGGAAACTGCTTCAGACCTCTGCTGAACCTGTGAAGGTCAACCATGGAAGGGGCAAAACAAGCAACTATAGGGACATTTGAGGTGGATTCACCTTTGCCTCCTACAGGGTTTTTACACACTGGCTTATGAACTTCCTTTTCAAAAGCCTTGTTAGAAATTCAATTGTTTTGTTTTTTTATATCAGAGTTCCTCTGTGAAAATCAGATGTACCTCAACTGAAATGCATTTTGGTGCTGTGTTATGCAGTTCACATGTATAAAATGCCACAGCTGTATTCAGTTGGGAATGACCTCTTTCTTACTTTTCAGATATCCTAAACACATTCCTGCTTAAAAGTACAATACTTCAGTTTCTTTCTAGAATCAGAGAAATAATAGGGCACTGTAGTGAGGTTGAAGTCTTTTATCTTTGTGCAGATTCAACCACAGTATTGATTCCTTATTGACCTAAGCTCTAAATATGGTTGTGGATCCCTCCCCCCCCCCCAGCCGCCCTTTACACAGTCTAAGGGATGGTTGAAGCAGCTATTCCTTTAATATTGATTTCTACAAAGGAAAAAAAAAGATACAGAATACCTTTGTGTCTGCAGTTGCTCTTAGTTGAAGAAAATATCTGGTTATGCATTTATGGCATTATAGCAAAAGTCTTAATTGGCAGCTTTCTCTCTTTGTCTGTCTGTTTCTGGCCATCTTTCTCTCTTTTAAAGCTTAGAAATAGGTTTGCTCAAATGTGTTATTGGTGTTAATGATATTTTTGAAGTGAGGCAAATTCATCAGCCTTTTTGAAGACTGCAAAGCTCTAAGATTAGATAGCCTTCGTGGACTTGCTGTGACAGTTTCTCAAATGTGGTCTTCTGAGCCTTTGAAATTGTAGTAACAACAACAACAACAACAACAACAACAACAACTGATGAGAAAACGGATCCCCCTTTGATTTGATGTTAAGAAGCTCCCTTCTAGTCTAAACTTTTGAATCAGGCTGGAATTTAGCAAATAAGAAATGTTATGATCTGTTTGATATTCATTTTCTACTTCTGTATGTCACAACATCAGATATTATAATAAATCATGTACAGATTGGCCATGGTCATATCTGTTGTATGTACAAATTGATGCAGAACCATAATTAGAGATAGCAACTGTGAAGGAGCAGGTGGCAAAACCAGAAATAAGTAAAAAAGGTTAGAAGAACAATGTTTGCATAGATGAAAATATAGAATATCATCTCTGTTTGATTATAATGAAACACAGATAAAGAGAAAATAACTAACAATTTAAATATCATTTTAGTTATAACAGTCATGACATTCATTTATAAATATAAATAGGAACCCATACCATTTTTTCTATAGATTGGAAGATTTAAAGTTGCAATAATGTTTTTATTTATGTGTGTAAGAGAGCACACGTGCCTTAAGGTAAGTTTCTGACTTTTGGCACTTGCCTAGACAATTTTTGACAATGCTTTTCAGAAATAGTTTGCCATTGCCTGCTTCCCAGGGCTGAAAGTGCGTGACTAGCCCAAGGTCACCCAGCTGCCTTTGTGCAGTGGGGAAGGGGGGTTAGTTTCTAGACCTATTTATTTATTTATTTTCTACAGCCATAAGCACTACACCAAATTACCCCTCAGTTTATTAATTGATAACACTGTTATTACTGTACCTTTTGAGTCCTTCTCAAGGACTTGGGATAGGCAGATGTTGTTTTTTGGTGGTGTTAAAGGTATCATCTCAGGATGTAAGCTGTTCTGAGTAAAGCTGCCTTTTGCAATTGATTGATGGTGTTGTCAGTGCTGATGGTATTCAAATGGTGCTCCAGTTGTTTTCAAATTGCACACAAGGCACTTATTACTATTAATACTACCTTTGCTTTCTTTCTGCCACAGTTATTCTATTTCTATTTGCAGGTCTTTGTAGTTTGTTATCTTTTTCAGTTCTTTCTCTTGTCTTCTGCTGTCTCCAGGGACTGCCATGTCTACTATCCAGACTTTTTTGTCTTTTTTGTCAACAACTGTTAAGTCTAGGGTGTTATGTGGCAGGCACTTATATGTTTGAATTCTAAAGTCCCAGAGCCTTTAGCCTGGAGCCTGTTGACTTCAACTCCCAGAATTCCCACTGGATTCAGGAATTCTGGGAGTTGACATCCACAAATTATAAAGGGGCCATAGTTCCCCACCTTTGCTTTTGCTTCTTCATTTTGCTAACTTATCATGCTGTTGTTTGCAGTCAGTTTGTGTGACCTTCCTGCAGCAGCTAACTAGGTGGTCCACTGCTTCTTCAACTTCTTTTTAGAGGTGACATTTGCTATCTGTTTCTGTCTTCTCAATTTTGGCTTTGCATGTATTTGTTCTTATGCCTTGGTCTTGTGCAACCAGAATTAGCTCCTCTGTCTCTTTTTTTCATTTTTTCTCTTTTGAGCCATTGCCAGGTTTTGTTATCTGCTTGGCCTGCTAGTTGTTTTGTTTTGTTTTGATGTATTGGCCATGTAATACTTTGCCTTGTCATGGTTTTTTTTTCTGTTCTTTGTTTGGTCTTTCTTTCCAATATTTTTTGGCGTGGCATACAGTATGATGTATGCCACCACTAAGACCACAATAGCTGTTTTATGCAATAATCTTTCAATTGATTTTAAGATCTTGATACTTTGTGATATTCTCTTATTTTTTTTGTCTTCTCATCTATTGTCTCCTGGTTTTGTTACATCAATAATAGCTTGACTTGGTTTGTTTTTACATGAAAGAGGATATTTTTTAATAGCCCAGATTCTGCCTTGATGTCAAGATGCACTGCAAAAATTGTGCTAGAATCCTGGTAATAAGCTGCACAACACTTTTGACTGTGCAACGTTGGTGGATTAGCAAAATGTTTAGCAGCCATTTTTGTTTGATTATTTGCATAAATGCCTTGCAGGGATTCACTCTAGCCTTTTAATTATGTTTCCACACATAAAATAAAGCTGTGTCCCATACTCACGTTCTACATACAAGAACAAATGAAAGAAGTGAAGGGAAAGGTGTGATGTCTATAAATGTGTGCAATTTACTGAAATATAAATTATAGAAAGAAGTCCAAAGAAAATGAAGTATCTTTAAGGCTATTCCAAATATATTTCACTCAGTTTATGTGTGTTATGTGATCTCACTTCAGATTCTGTTGGCCATGGTATATATAATATATAAAATAAGTGTTTGTGTTTGTGTGTGTCTCTCTCTCTGTTTGCATGTATTATGGAGGGCCACTTCATAACACATTTCTATTTTGTCACTTTTCCCTATCTTTAGTTTTATAAATATTTATGTTTAATCTTTATGTTTAAAGATCTCTTACATGAATGTCTGTTAGCTTTTCTTTATCCATTCCCATCATAGTATAAATTAATATGTTAATTTCAGTCTAACTTGTTATTGTTAAGCGTTTCAACTGTGACCAAAAAAACCCCCTAAATTAAAAATATGACTTTTCCACAGACATTTATGATTAAAATTCTTAATTTATGAAATGTAATCCTTTTTGGAAACTGGTGAGGGGGAGAAGTCAGGGAGAGGTTGTTTTATGTTCATTTGTTAATAAATGGGAAATATTTACAAGGCATCTTTTCACATGAGTTCTAAAATACATTTAACCAGATAAAATTCATAGGTGCAATACAACTTTTTAATGAAAAAATGATTTGGAATAAAGCAATCTTTAGTGGAAGTGCTGCATAATCAGAGTCCTCGTGTTATATGTGATAGAATATGAAAATGATGAAATAGGAGCCCTGGATTTGTAACATTGGATTATATTAATTCAATGCAATCCTAAGTATACAAATTAAATCTAATTTAGTTTTTGTCCAAGCCCTACCTACCTCTGAGACCAAGGCACTTAACATACTACTAAAGCTCATCCTCAGTCTCTCAAATGTTGAACACTCATTTTGTGCTTGCATGAAGATCTGTAGAGAAATAAATCATACGTACCACTCCTGAAGGGCGTTTCATACCTATATAGTAAATGCTAAAAGACCTTCTCCCTCATGCTTGTTGACCACACTGTCATACTTCCCAAAAAGGAATTCCTTGGAGGTTCTCAGCTTGGTGGTTGATCCCACAAAGATCAATTCTCCCCTCTTTCCCTTACCCTAGTTCAGGGCTTTTCAACCTTTTCACCCATTGTACCACTTTTAGGATATGGCAATATCCGAGTACCACCAGTAGCCTAGCAAGGTGTCAAAAACTTGATGACCAAAAAAAAAGGGGGGGGGGGAGTGATGAAGTAAAGGTAGTCCTCAACTTACAACAGTTCACTTAATAACTGTTTGAAGTTACAATGGCACTGAAAAAAGTGCCCCCCCAAGCTACAGCCAAGCAAGACACCTGCCTGCCCACTTGGCCACGCTCTTTCTTCCCGTCTGAGATTTCCATTGTTGTGAGCATTTCTGTTGAGGATTGGCAGTGGGGGTGGGATGGGGGTGTTTGGTTTTTATTCCCCACATCTGCTGGTTGTAGCAGGTTTTGGTCACTTCACATGACCCTGGGACACTGTGACCGTCATAAATATGAATCAGTTGCCAAGCATCTGAATGTAAATCACAAGAGCCTGGAGATGCTGCAACAGTCCAGCTGATCGATGCTTCTTCAGGGCTCAACAGAAGTGCCAGGATCAGTGCTGAGCTCCAGTTGAGTCTGGCGCTGATCCTGGCGCTTCCACTGAGCCCTGACAGCCCCGAAGAAGCACTGATCCTGGCACTTCCACTGAGCCCTGACAACCCTGCAGCTCCAGCTCCATCTCTCAATCAGGCTTGTGCGGTGCTGTCACCGCATCGGCTCATTCCCCTCCCCCACTACCACTTTTCTAGGATGGTCGCATACCTGCCAGGTGCCAATGTACCACAGGTGGTACCTCTACCATTGGTTGAAAAGCCCTGCCCTAGTTATTCAACACCTACATGTAGCCATTCTCCAGCAGTTTGGTGGTGTGGGGAGGTGTTGACATCATCAAACTGATGGTAGAATAACTTCTGATTGTTGGCTGTTTTTGGAATATCAAGGGAGTTGATGCATGGAAACATATTTTGGGAATGACTCCAGTCCTTTGGAAAGGCCTCCTGTTTGAGTTTAGATCTACTCTTACCTTGATCCTTTACACTCCTTGTGGAGGGCATTTGGGTCATGACACTTCTTTGTTTGGCATTGTATGTTTTAGGGAATTAATGATTCTCTGTATCTTTGTACTGGATTTTGTTTTTGTGGGTCTTTCTCCTTCTATTTCTCCTCTTCCTCCTCCTCCTCCTCCTCCTCCTCCTCCTCCTCTTCCTCTTCTTCTTCTTCTTCTTCTTCTTCTTCTTCTTCTTCTTCTTCTTCTTCTTCTTCTTCTTCTTCTTCTTCTTCTTCTTCCTCCTCCTCCTCCTCCTCCTCCTCCTCCTCTCCTTCCCCCTCCTCCTGTAGTTGTAAGCTACTAAGTATTTGCTAGATAGTAACAGAGTAAAGATTAAATCAACAAGTAAACACATTTCCAAGAATGATCCTAGTATACAGGCTGGTTGTTGCTAATTAATCTGTCTTTTCAGGTAATAATTTTATATTATTTAATTCATTTTCCCTTCTTTGCCCAGAGTGGAGAGAATGATGTACTCCTGATCCACTATAGTAAGAGGTCTTCAATAAGATTTCTTCTAGAGTTGTGATTATGGTTGGTAATTGGCTAGTTGGTAGCCACTATTGTACCATATTGATGTTATACCTCGTATAGGATGATGGACTGTTTCCATCCATCTAATATTCATGGGGTTAATAAATCTATCTCTCTGTTCATTTACTGTTTTTCATGCATGGAAACATACATTTAATTATGAGATAGTGTTTTACAACTGTGTATATATGTGTGGGTGTATTTGTAAAACATATTTTCTAAATATATTTTCTTTTAAAGTATGATTTTGAAAATAAATATTCATCCTTTTCATGTCCTCCATGGGTTTTAAACAATTCCCATCACCCAACCAAGCCAAACATTAATTGTTCTGGCCGGATGTAATACAGCTTGAGGGCACCAGCTTAACATAAATTAATACAGTTGGGAATGTAGGATTTGTGGCCCCTCAGTCTTCCTGCACTGCCATCCCCTGTGAGGATTTCCATCAGTAATGCAAAGCTCATAATAAAACTTTTTGAAACACAACATTTAAAAAAAAAACCCACAAGTGAATGAAGTCCTTTGTCTATCAGACAACTGTGGGGAAAGGAAAAAAGAAATAACTACCAATAACTTTTTTACAACACAGTTATCATTTATCCTAGTACCAAAATCCATTCAACCTTGTTTATACAGGTTACATAGTCATAAAAGTTCAAGCAGCCATAAAAATTGCTGTTGAAGATAAATTAGCAATAAGTAAAAACTGAAGCCCAAACAAAAATCCAGGCTTCTAAAATGTATACTTTAAATTAATTTGAGATTATTAATTTCATAAAAGACCAGAAGGAGAAGAGAGAAAGCTGAAAGAAAAATAGAACTATCTTGATTCAGCTATCTTGATTCAGCTATCTTGAAAAGTAAAAGATAAGATCCACCTTGGAAAATATGCTCAAGTAGCTTTTCAACACTGCAATTCTGATTGCTTTCATGTCCCAGAACCACCTTCTGCTCTGGATGAGACCTTCTTGAGATAAAGTCAATACATTCTGTTTGGTTCATGGATCCAAGTTATTCTATCATTTGAGATTCCAAAGCCTTGCAGCATCCAGCATTTGGATATGAATTTTGATGTACTGTTTAATGCTATTTTTGTAACAATTCAGTCTGCTTTAGTAGAATAAACTGTTGTTAAGGACAAACAATTATCTTATGGATGCCAGACCAGGCAGTACATAAATTTTAATGATTATTTTCAGTGGCAGGAGAGAGAATCTTAAGATCAATGCACACCCAAAACTGGTAAAAATTTCCCTCTTATAAAACTAGTGTTGGGGGGGAGTGGGGATGAATTAAATGGGAGTGAGTTGGATGAGAGGGAATGAGAATTTCCTCTGAATTTATAATTAGGCAAGGATAAGAGGGAGAAGTCAGAAGGTGGCTGTGAGGTGGCTGTATTTTTTTAATTGTTTTTTTTTTAAAGTTGCTTGCAGGAAGTATCAAGTGCCCCAGAAGAATCTGCAAGGGGAAGGACCACTCCCCAGTCAGAGCAAACAGGCAGGTCCACAGAGGACTTTTATTCAAGATAAAAGAAATGACAGACACCTCTGCCAGTGTAAGGAGATATCTCCTTTCTCATCATCTACAAGCAAACATTTAAATTTTACTCTCATAAAAGTTTATCTCATTAATTCTTTTACTCCTAGGCAAGAAGACAATAGGGGAAGGGGAATATGCTGATTCAAAGGGAATATATAGCATTTCTCAGGCACAGGGGGCAGAATTTAACTTAGCTTTAGATAAAAAGCTCAGCTTGTCACCTGACCCCCCCATTTCCTCACATTAACATTTTCCATATGGAGGAACTGAGACCTAAGTGACTGCAGACACACTATCTACCTTTCTGCAGGCAGCCAATGCACTAAATCTATAGATGGACTCAAATTTGCTTGTGGTCACTTGAGAGTGAATATTTTTTTGCTTCAGAGAACTAGCACATTTCTTCCAAGAAATCCTCTATAATCTTGGATTTGGGATTCAATCAAATGCATAGCCCAGTATTTCATACACATAGACACCACACATATGTTTTTGGCTCAATGCTTGAGGGATCTTTGGCATATTGTCCTCTGGTGGTCCTCCACTGATGTTAGTATCCTTCCAGCGGGCTTTTCTAGTGGTGGCAACAACAACAGTCTGATCAGTTACTAACTACTTTAATTTGCTGCAGGGCCCCTAATTGTAGAATTGCTGCTGGATATTGTGGGAAATTAAAATGGCATCTGCCAGATTCCCACTGGGGATCACTATCTTAATTTCCTATCTTGTCCCAGAGCAATGCTATGTTGGAGAATTGTAGTAAATTAAAATGGCAGCCTGCCAATGGGGGTTAACCAGAAGGCTCAAGACAAGCAATTTGTAGTCAGCCTTCATGTATATCAGCATAGATACATAGAAGACAATGAAGGAGAGAGATACAATAGAAAGGAAAACCTTCAGAAATTCTTCATGTACTCCTCTTAATGCCCTTGGAGCTTTAGGGAACATTATATTTTGTCTTTCTTGTTAATAATATGCTGAACAAGGATGGATAGATCTTGGGCCTTTTCAGTGGTGGCACATTTACCTGACAATGAATATTAGAAAAAAAAAGTCACCTAAGAGTAAGAGCTTCTAAACATAGGATCAATTGCCCAGAGAGATTGTGGGAGCTTTTTCATAGGTAGCCATCTGCTAGCAAGCTTTAATATTTATATTGCTTTTATGGACACAGAGGAGGAAGAGGAGGAGGACTCAATGGTTTGAATAGCCCTCCTAACTATTTAATTCTAATAGAGAGGGATGTTCAGATAGTTCTTTCAATAGCAGTCGACGTGATGTGCCGGTGCCTGGAAGATGTGAGGGTCTGGATGGGGGTGAACAGGCTTAGATTCAACCCTGACAAGACCAAGTGGCTCTGGGTCTTGCCTCCCAAAGGCCAACTGGATGGTCCATCTTTAGTCCTGGGGGGGGGCAAATTTACCTCCCTCAGTGCAGGCACGCAACTTGGGTGTCCTCCTGGACTCGCAGCTAAATCTGGAACAACATCTATCGGCTATGGCCAGGGGGACCTTTGCACAGGTTTGCCTAGTGCACCAGTTGCGGTCTTATTTGGACCGGGAGGCTTTACTCACAGTCACTCATGCCCTTGTCACCTCAAGACTGGATTACTGTAACGCGCTCTACATGGGGCTACCCTTGAAGAGCGTTCGGAGGCTGCAGTTGGTTCAGAACGCAGCCGCGAGAGCGATTGTGGGTGCGCCAAGGTACGCCCACGTGTCACCTATCCTCCGCGAGCTGCACTGGCTTCCTGTGGGTCTCTGGACGCAATTCAAGGTGTTGGTTATCACCTTTAAAGCCCTTCATGGCATAGGGCCAGGTTACTTACAGGACCGCATTCTGCCGCACAGTTCCCAGAGACTGGTGAGGTCCCATAGATTGGGCCTCCTTCAGGTCCCGTCGGCCAGACAATGTCGGCTGGTGGGCCCTCGGGGAAGGCCCTTTTCTGTGGTGGCTCCGACCTGGTGGAATCAACTTCCCCCCGAGGTTCGAACTACTCCCACCCTGCCGGCCTTCAAGAAGGCCGTTAAAACCCTCCTGTTCCGGCAGGCCTGGGGCTGATGTCCCCGGGGGGCCGGGATATGATCGGACTCACGGTATGACTGCTTTATTTTATTGTTTTATGATTGTTTTAACTTTGTACGCCGCCCTGAGTCCTTTGGGATTGGGCGGCATATAAACACTGAAAATCAATCAATCAATCAATAAATAAATAAATATTTTTGGATATCACTAAAATTACTTTTTTTTCTTTAATGAGAAAATCTCTAATTTTTTAAAACTGAAAAAATTAATTTGCCTGTATTTACAAGCTAATTTGGTCTTTTAATCCTGACCATTTCATTTTATTGTTTATATGCTCTTAGTTGCTTCCAAATCCAGTTGCCCAAAACATGGAGGATAGAAACATTTGAAGCAAATGAATGCAGAAGGACTCAATGGATGAGCTAGCAAGTAAATGCTTATGAAGTCATGCATGGCATCTGAGTTTTGATTAGAAAAGTTTGCCATAGGTTTAATGGAATCTATAGGTATGTACATCTGTGTAAGAAGTTTGTTTTTCCAACTTGGGTCTTGCTATTACATTGCTATTCTGATGCTGCTTCAGATCAATTTCCTTTCCATTGTTTTCAACATCAAGTAGCTTTGTAATCCCCTTTGACTGCTCTGATTGTTATATATATAATTGTTCATATGAATGGATGTATAAACAGCTGGGCAATAACAGTAGCAACATATCCCTCCTTTTGCTTTCCAGTGGCATCTATGACTAGTCACTCTGAGAGTGATCAGTGAAAAAAGTATTCTGTTCAGATGCACTGTTTCTTATTTCTCCAGGGGCTTCAGTTTATTTTATTGGATGATGAAGGGCTGGACAAGTGTGAAAAGCACTGAATATTTTACAGGGCTCAAAGGTGCAGGTTACTCTTTTGCTGTGGAATGACATGCTATGGAAAACTGTGTTGCTGCTGAACCCTCAGCAGCAGTTTTGCTGGATCCTCACATTAAAATGAA